CAGGTGTCTAAAATTTATAAGACAGTATACTAGCTATATATCAGGTGTCTAAAATTTATAAGACAGTATACTAGCTATATATCAGGTGTCTAAAATTTATAAGACAGTATACTAGCAATGTATCAGGTAATAGTTAAGAGATACTAATTTAAATGAACTCATTATGTTTTATGTAGTTATGTGAGTAGCTACCAACAGTTACCTGAAATACTCAAATTATTCATTATTTCTAAGTCTAAAGTTAAATAGTTAGGATATAAGGTATAGTCATAATATGCTGAAAATATTATAGTACTTGGATAAGTTTTTAACTTTGTGGACAGTAGTAAGTAGTGTTGAATTTACCACGACATTAGTTTACCAGACATTGTATTTTACACTGAAAATTTGCCCAAAGCAACAGTGCAGTAATTTTCTCTTATACAAAACAAGTACCTTTAATATATTTTTAGTTGGCTGAAGTTGAAGGTTAAACTACGTCGTACATTAGGCACAAAATAATTACTAAATATACGAGCAGAATATTTATTTTTTCATATTTTATGCTGACAATAGGCCAAACTTCAGATTGTTCAGTTAAGACTTGCTTAAAATTACATTCAGTACAATTATTTAAAGTGGTTTTGCAGCATTTCCAGTTGGTGATGTTATACTGAATAATCAGCCCATATTTTACACTAAAAAATGTAACCTTTTTATATGCACTGTAAAATAAATAAGTTTAGAAACATATATTCAAGTATTCATTGAGAAAGTTTCAGTTTATATTTATGGTGTTAAGGTATGTATAGAGTATAAGATATAATTCTCTTAAATTAATATCAGACTAAGTGTAACATATTAAAAAATTCATTTGGTAAAATGAAAACCTAAATAGTCCATTTAAATTGCATGTAAAGAAAAAGTATTTAAGCCAAAGATACCGATTCTGTTCTGCTTTGTCCCCCCCCCCCCCACCAAAAATAAAATATTTAATTTCATCTTTTTATCATTGAACATCTTAAAACTACATTTCACTACATATGTCATAATTATTACAGGTTACTTGTTGGTAACAACGTTCGGCTCTTGTGTGACAACAGTGTAAATATGTTCTTGAACTTACCACTTCAGTGATATGGTCGAGGGTGTAACAAATCTTGACATATTAGCAGGTTGCGTTGATAATAATATCAATTAAACCTGAGATGTCAAATAGAATATTGTAGGAACTATTTAAGTGGAATAAGTTGAAATAACTTCTAATTGTGATATCTAAATACAGTAAGATTTTAAACAATATTTAAGGATGTGATAAATATTGAATCTTATTGAATACAATTTGCTAAATCTGTGAGAAGGTGTACTAATATTTTAAGTTGAGGAATTATTTCTTTTCGGACGTATCTTGAACAATGGTTATATGAAAATGTTGGATATAAGGCATCATCTATGTGACACAGAACTCTAGATCCACGATTTCGTCCCGAGAAGGAAATGGTTGAACTAGTTCTCGTAGATACTCCTAAGATATTTATTTTTATTGTGTATAAAACAGAAAATGTATTAATTAAAATCACATCCAACAGGCCATAAGTGTCTAAATTTGTTCTCTTAAAGTGGACAAACTGCTTAATATGTTTGATTCTTGGAAATTCTACAACTGTGAGACATCTTGTAGTTTTGACACACACTTAACTGTACGTGTTTTGTGTCGAATGTTTTGATGGATAAACTGACGATCCTGAAAAGCTTATTTTCTTGTACGAGTTAGATAACCTTTGTATGTAACATGTTTTTTTTAATCCAATTTAACATTTCTTGTTGTTTTTGTTTCTCATTTTAGTGTGGTTCAGAGTTTTATAGAAGACAATCTGAAAGAGGTTACTGCAATCATATCATCGACCACTTGTTATGCAAACTTTGAAACTCTGGTCAAAGATGCTATTCCGACAGTGGTACAAAAAGTTAATTTTGGCTGCAATTCTTGGCGTAGGTTTGTACTGTAGCTTCTATCTTTTAGACAATGGAAAGAATAAATGGAAATTTTCCAAGAGCACACAAACAACTCGCCAGAAGACAGAGAGCCAAGATGTCGTCGAAATAGATCCTGAAAGCCAGATTCAAGATAACCAAAATGTGTATAAAGTACCCAAAGAAAACATTCATATCCACACGTGTCCAGCCTGTTTTGGTAAAGATCTTTGTACTGATATTGAAACTGGTTCTCTTGAGCTTTATAAAAATTCAAAAACCGAGTCACACGATCTTAGTTGGAGGGAAGCAATTTTACACAAAGCTGACAAAGTTGTGGTGTCATCAGTTTCTGACTCTTCTTGGAACAAGTTTGATCAGTACATTTGTAATAATGCAAGTAAAAAATTTCCCTGTGATGTTTCTACTGGTATTATGGCGAGTTATCTCGCATCCAACCGAGTAATGACAGCCGACGGTTTAAGGAACTTGTACCGAGTACTGGATAAGTCAAGGAGTGAAGTTGTGTAAGTTAGTTTGAAGCGTATAATTTAAACCATTCTTATTCCTTTTACGTGACACAAGAAAACTATATATCACCATACAAAAACAAAACTGTTATTTCCATACATACAGAGAACCACTCATGCTATTAATAAAATACAATCCTAATACATAATATAGAATATATATTCTTTGATAGATTGTTTAGGCAGGGTATTCATGATGAAACTTTTGTAGAATGGATGATAACTGCCTGTTGTAGAGACACTAGTGTAGAGGACGACTTTCGAAAGTCTTCCGGTTGAAGACAAAGGGTGGAAGACTTATGTCTCTGCAACATGCAGTTATCATCCATTCTACAAACTTTCATCATAGAAGTATTTCTTTAGACGATGAGAAGTGAAACAATGTGTGTATAGTCTTAGCTTCACCTGTAACAAACTGAACATTGTATGTTTGATTAATGTGGTACTGATGTATTTAAGAATTTGAAAGTAATCTTTTAATGCTCTTCAAATATTTTAAACGTTTTGTTCGTTGTTATTCTGTATAAAATTGAAGAATATACAATTTCAAAGATTAAAGTCAAGTTTTTATATATTGACTTGTGTATGGGGCTTTTGAGTATTACAGCCATCATTGTCCTATTAAAATTGTCCTTGAAATATAAGGTAAGGTTGTGTGAAAATATTTGTAATTTTTTGATATTTAATATATATATGTGTGTTATATTAAATCCTTATAAAATACAATGTATCAAGTCGACTGGTGTTTTGCACAAATTAAGTTGGACTGTTTTTAAACATAGCAAACATTTTGTAATCTGAGAAGTATAAGGATATATAATATCTTTATTTTTAAATTGGGGTTTTATTTTAGAAGGACCATCCCCCCCCCCCCCCCAACAACTTTGTTACCTATTACAGTAATATGTCACACAGTTGTCTACAAAACTTTGTTTTTCTTGATGAAAATTACTTAACTTATATTTCACTACGTGTGTTGTTAAAGGGTATATTTAACCAGGTATTTGTGGCAATAAAACAGTGAATCCTATCAATGTAATTATTATTTATTTTTAAGTATGAAAGCAGACAGTCAATAAACTAAAAGTAAATGCACGTCAATTTAACAGAATTATTGATGAAATGCAGCTGATGCTACAAAGGTGACATATTGAAATAAATATATATGAATTATGAGATTATCTAGAACAAAATGTTGAGGGATTTAGTATAAATGAACTCTCAAATTGCATCCGAGTAATTTGGAAAAAAAAAGGTGTTTTGGCAACAATGGTTAGGATGAAACGTGTCATTTTCTAAGTATGTAGATATTATATGATATTTTATGGCTAATTGGTATTTTTATGCTCCAGCTTGCCTATCTGTGCCACAAACAAGCTTGTGGATGAGTTAAAAGCAACATTTGATGATGATGGAGATGGCCAATTAAACAAAGAAGAACAAGCTCAGTTGATGACAGCTTTATTGATGCATCCAAGTTATGTTCTTTTAAAGGTGTTTACACTGTATTTAGATTACATAATATATTTATGTTCATTAACTTAAAAAACTGGTGTTGAGTTTTGAATAGATGTCTCAGTCTTATGATTCTTTGTTTTCTTTCTTTCTTTCTTTTGTTGGTATAATTTGTGCTAAAGTCCACTTTACTTAAGGATATTTTAAAACAATGTAACTTATTGCTAAAAATTTGAAGCCTCTCTTACTTTGCTTCCCAGTGGCACAGCGGTATGTCTGTGGACTTACAACACTAGAAACCGGGTTTCGATACCCGTGGTGGGCAGAGCACAGATAGTCCATTGTGTAGCTTTGTGCTTAACTTCAAACAAATATACTTGCTTTTTTCCTCAGGGTTTTTAATTGCCACTTGTCAAAGTTTTTCTAGAACCAATGATAAAGAAGGAAACAGCTGATTAGAACCTTCTGCAATCGACTAAGTCTTTAGTACATTTTACATGTAAATATATGTGGAAGTTTGGCTTGAATTAAATTGTGAATGTGTATGTGGTAGTTAGGTTTATACACTTGTATTTATACATGTACTGTTTAGTTCCAGGATACTGTAAACACCAACCTACCTATTCCTAATTTCCAAGGAACCTGTGGAAGGCTGGCTGTTTGGGAAGGTGGTCTGACCCCTCTTGAGGATCATCTTCAGGAATCGTTTGAGGAACGAGCTGGACTCGCTTCTCAGTTGCTGCAACTGGTAGACGATTTCCAGGTATGTTTATTACTAAACATACAAGTTACAGATAGTTACAAACACTTGAAAATAATTTGATTATTATTGCAGGACCTGTAGTCAGTAAAGTTGTGGACTACTGAGTATTTTGGTGCATAAAAAGTTTAGAAACAGTTTAAAAAGCTGATAGTCTGGAATAACTTATTCAATTCCTTCTCTGTGTATGCACTTTTCTAGCCATTTCTGTGCTAACACACTCAATGACTACAATTAATTTGATTGTAAAGTAACAATCACCAAATAGGTTTATGTTACAGTGTGATTTTGGGAAAATGGATGTTCAGAGCTGGGATCAACGATGTATTAGATTTATACTTTGTTCATAATGAATGTTCAGAGTTTGGATCAACGATATCTTAGATTTATATTTTGTTCACAATGAATGTTCAGAGTTTGGATCAACAATGTCTTAGATTTATAGTTTGTTCATAATGAGTGTTCAGAGTTTGGATCAACGATGTTTTAGATTTATAGTTTGTTCATAATAAGTGTTCAGAGTTTGGATCAACGATGTTTTAGATTTATAGTTTGTTCATAAAGAATGTTCAGAGTTTGGATCAACGATGTCTTAGATTTATAGTTTGTTCATAAAAAATGTTCATAGTTTGGAACAACGATGTCTTAGATTTATAGTTTGTTCACAATGAGTGTTCAGAGTTTGGATCAACGATGTCTTAGATTTATAGTTTGTTC